CCTACGAAGTGGCTGAAAGGATGCGAGGAGCGGGCATTAGGCTGGGTGATGGAGCATGCCTCTCCGCCCAGGGTGGCCACACAGGCCTGAGAAGGGGCTGCCGTCTCTGCCCCAGCTGGGAAAGCGGTCAACAGGAAGCTGGAGCGCTGACTTCAAGAGCCCTGCTGCTGCCAAAACTCTCAGCCCCACAGAGTGCACCTCTGCCTAACCACTTGCCCCAAACCTTAAAACAACAGCAAATCTTTGTTCCTGTGTGACTTAAAACTGCAATAAACATTCTCTCTTGCAGTTTCTGTTGGTCAGAAATTTGTAATTGCCTTGGCTGCCTAGTCTGGCTCCAGAGTTCTCGTGGACTTCAGTCAGATGTAGACTGAGGCTGCAGTCATTTGAAGGCTGGACCCGGGATAGGGGGTCCACTTCCAAGGTAGCTGCCAGGTTGGTCCTGGGGGAAGCCTCAGTTCCCCCTCCGTGTGGGCCTCTCCACGAGCTGTGTGAGCATCTACACTGCACGGCTGTTGGCTTCCCCCAGAGTGAATGACCCGAGAGATCAAGGAAGCAGCAGCAACGTCTTCTGTGACGTAGCCTCAGAAGTCACATGCAGTCACTTCTGTAGTGTTCTGTTGGTCACAGGAGTCAGACGGTATTCCCTGTGGAAGGGGACTACGCAAGAACGTGAATGCCAGGGGACAAGCACCAGTAGGTGCTCTCTTGGGGGCTGGCTGCCATATCCCATAAAACTAGCTAATGCACATTGGGGTGCTATTGCAGAAAAACGTCTCCAAAAATGTGCTTGGCAACAACAGCCGAAGCCAGGGAAGAGGCCCCTGCCTCATTTGCATCTTCCAAATATAACTGCAAAGGAGTCTGCAAATACAGTTTACTTTGTGTCTCTTTGTTTTAGCTTTCCCGTTTCTGCAATACAAGAAAGCGCTTTAGAAGAGGGATTTAATTGATGATGAAAACCAGTCCACCAAATTCTCCACAGAGACCATGACCAATACATACATTTATAGAACTTTCTATAGCAGAGAACTGGAGCAGAGATGGGAGGGAATGAAGCCGGATCAGGGTGGGTTGGTGCTTTGCTGAGTGGATGCAGCAGAATGATACCAGTGCTACAGAGGACAAAGTGCTCATTTTTTTAAAAAAGAAGAACTGTCATAGATTTAGACTGATATTTTCAATTAAAATCTAACATTGAATGATTTTTCCTTTTTTAATATTTTAATTTATACATTGAAATTTTGTCTAACAACATCAGCATAGTCATTTTTTTGCTTTAGCCTCTCTCTCGTTATGTATGTATATAGAAGATCCTTTACAAATAGCTTTAACAATGCCAATATTACAACTAACCATAAAACTAATCAATGAAATTTGCTAAGATTCTTTTGTGGTTCTAGTTCTCCTTGGAATATAATCTCTTAAAGATATTCATTGAAAGTGCTGTTTTCTAGAGTCATTTGGATAATTCTTTCTCTGTATGGCTATACCAATGTGAAATTCACACCATGTCCTGGTCATATCCTTCACTCACTGAAAGTGTCAGCTCCCCAGTAGCCTCTTCACCCAGTAAGACCTTAGTTAAGGTCACCTAGTAAGAGATAGGATTTGAGTGCAGGCAGTCTGGTGCCAATGCATGTCTTCACGCACTGCACTAACACCTTGACTGGTTCAGTGATCACAGATCCGGGTTTCCAACTGGCCTAGTGGATGGATTTGAGTGGGGATGGGGTGGGGGGAGGACTGAGCCAGATTATGAAGGCTCACACGAAGGTAAATATGGATGTGAGCATAATGGGCTTAACCTGGCCACAGAGTCTCTTATTAGAGTCTACCGTGACTGCTTATCCTGCACCCTGGGCCATCGATGTGGCTGTTGGGAGAAGCAGTTTTCTTACCAGGAACAGGAGGCAAAGTGAAGGCTTCTGAGCTGTTGTACTCTCATGTTTTCCTCATCTCTTCCCTTGGATGATTCTTACACATTCTACAGACTTTAGCTTAAATGGCACCTCTAGGAAAAGCTTTCCCTAACCTCTCCTACGTTACATTGGGAAACCCTGCTATGTCATCCCATCTTTCAGCATTTCTCTCACTCGCTAGGATGCAAAGCCAGTGAGAATAAGGTATCTGTTGTGTCCCAGAACTTAGCACAGGGCCTGGCCAATAATGGGATCTCCATAAATATTTGTTAAATTGATAAGATATATTAAATTAATGAGTTATTCAATTTTAATTAATAGAAAAATCTATATGTTTTTTCAGGACATCTAGTCAGAAATAGAGCTTCCTAGGAAGTTGAAATAGAACTTCCTAGGAAGTTAAGCAGTTACATACAGGATTCTTTTTTGTTTTTATTATCTTTTTGAATAGGTAATCTATGCACCTGGTTCAAAAATCAAATGATATAATATGGAATACACTGAGAAGTTTCCTTTCCACTCCTATCCCTAACCATGGTAATCCCCACACCCCTCCACGCCACTAATAACCACTTTTATTAGTATCTGTTTTTCTCAATATATATTTATGCAAATACCTTACCCACCCATGTTCTTCCAGACACACCTATCTAATGAGTCCCTAGGGTCAGGTCCTTTACTAGACCCAAGATTTCCTTCCCAAATGACCCCCAGCCCACTTCCAGGACCCACTTGGCCTCCTCCCAGGAGCCCCCTCTTCCTTCTCGAAGTCTGTGCACAAAACCTGGGCTGGAGAAACCACCTTCAGAAGGCAGATTGGGACGAGTGGGTGGAACTTGGATGGGCAGGTGTGGCGGTGGGGGAGGGAGAGTCAAAGGTAGCCTGCACACCAGGCCGCTGGCAGAGCCAAGAACCTGGGTGGGAAGAGGAGGGCTGGTTTGTGGCTCCTATTTGTGTGTTTGCCCCTCTCCTTCCTTTTTCTCCCTAATCTGAGGGGCCAGCCGGGCTTTGGAGACTACCTGTATTATGTCCACAACCTACTCTTCCCGTTCTATCTGTAGACATGCTTCTGGGCACCTTCTCCCAACTTCTTATGATTTCCCCAGATACTCTGGACATTTTAAAAACCTCCATGACTTTCTACACAATGCTGTCTCAAACCTTTCTTCCTTTTCTCCACCTGATGAAATTCTTCTAGTTATTTAATAACCAGTTGGTGTATCATCTCCTGTGTTAGTGATCTCTGAAAATCCCCTCTACCCTCTAACTCTCATGCCCAGGCAGAGTTAGCTGCTGTGTGTGTGTGTGTGTGTGTGTGTGTGGCAGGGATCTCATAACACCCCTGTGGAAACACAGCATACTGTATTTAATTGCTTTTTTGCCCCTAGACTAGACTGACTGTGTGGAAGCTTTTTCAGGGCAGAAAACATGCTTCTTCATGCTTATTCTCAGTGCCTATCCCCAGAGCATGGCACTTAGTGCACAGTCAACAAAACTTTCAGTGTGGTAGTGCCATGAAAATCCCAGGTCCCCCATTGATCACATGGCTTTGGGCAAGTTACTCAGTCCCTGTTTCCTTTTTTTTGAAATAAAAGTGAACCTCCTTGAATGGCCCTAAGGATTAAATAAAACAATCCATTCCAAGTGCTTCAGCATAATGATAAATAGTATGGCTTCACTAGAGGATAACCATGATTAAGTTACAATCTGAGCCTTGGTAACGTGTAAGAGGAAGTAAATAGTCCTTTCAAGCCAGTGACATGGTTCCCTGAAATTTGTATTTAATGTTGCAATCTTAATAAAACTGTGAGAGAATAGGTTTTTAAAAATGCCTGAGGTAAGGTGATGCTTTAAAATAGTTTATTAAAAAGGTTCCAAGTAATATTTTTTTAATAAATCCAAAGCATTAGGTAACTCTTGGCACTCTTGACACCAAATGGGTGAGAAAAATACTACATTACAATCTATTTTGAGAGATTTTTATAGGAATGTTTATATACGAACTAAGTATGTGGAAATAAGGAAACAAAGTGTATTTTTATAACTACCTCTTTAAGAATTTTATATAAATATATATCATAACTTATTTTTTATTACTGCATATTTAAGTATTCCTACAAAAATGCTGTAAGTATACATATATACATTCTGTTCAGATGTTTTAAAAAAGGAAAAAGCTAATTGCAAAAAAACCCAAACATGCTATTAAAAACAAAACAATCACTATGAGTTGCTATATGTATCATATCCAGTCTGCTATCACTTGCTACCCAAGATTGGGGCCTTTTGTCTATTAGTATATTGTACAATATTAAATGGAACTGTGCTATTTGCATTCTTGTACCTCTAAATCCTGTTTTTATTAAGGAGAAAAAGAAAAAAACAAGAAAATGGAATGTGATCTAAGCTTACAGGAAAAATCAAAATGGATTGATTACACTTACTTGAATCTTAAGGTTTTTTTCTCCTCACTCAAGGATATGCTTATTGATTTTTAGAGAGAAAGGAAGGAAGAGAGAGAGAGAGAGAGAGACATCCGTTGGTTGTTCACCCCAACCAGGAATGAACCCACAATTTAGGTTTGTGCCCTGACTGGGAATTGAACCCGCACAGGACCATGCACCAAACAGATGAGCCACTGGGCCAGGGCCACGTATTTGAATCTTATTGCTCATACAGAATGGCTCTAATAAAGTTGGCTAATGATCTCAATCTTTGTTTTCCAAGCTAGTGAAAATAAAACAAAAAGGTTACTGCTGTAAATCTGGTGAAGCAAGCAATCGTCTGACCTGTTGCAAAATCAGACGCTTTTTTCCTGCAAGTTTCCATGCTATTCGTAGGCTTTAAACTGTTACAGCTTACAATCTCAACTATGGAAGACTACAAACCTACCTATCTACAAGGGCTAATTATACAAGTTTTTTCACAATTGCACATTTAAGATTCACTTACATCTATATGAGCTAGGTTAAAATCTTAGGATATATGAAGATATCTGAGGTTGAGAATAAATATGTATTATGAGAGTTAGAGACACTGAGAGCGAACTTAGAAAGATTTCAAAGGCACAGAACAAAATCTGGTAAATCATGTATTCTAAAGTGGTAGGACAGAAAATTAGTGTTAGCCTTACAAAGTTAACAACAGTATCAGAGTAAAAAGTAGCTTTTCTTTGCGTTGCCCTCCGTGCTTAAAAATATAATAAATGGAAAACCATCTTTTACTCTTGCCATGATGCCAAGGCACAAATATCTGAATCCTAAATTGGAGGCCAGAGGAAGCAGAAGCTTCCTCATGGGAAGAGATGGCGGAGTTTGGCATTGAGTTCTTTCTCCTTGCTTAAAAGATCCAGGCTGTGCTTTTTGAAGGCTTCAGACTGCAGCCTGAGTTCATCGTAGGCCTGCTGGATCCCATCTATCTTGCGTTGAAGTTCCCGGACTCTCAAGTTACTGTTCACAGCCACCACCTCTTGCTCAAACCTCTCCAGCGCCTGTCTCCTGGCCGCATCCGCTGTCTCCAACTTCTCCTCAAGCTGGTGGATCTCTGCTTGCTTGATCTGAAGCACCTTGCCCCTCTCCATGGACAGCTGTAGCAGCTCCTCTTTCTCCCGAGTGACGACCTGCAGCCTGGCCTGCAGCTCCTGGCTCAGGCTGCTGTGGGCCTGCTCGGCCTTGGCCATCTGCTCCACGGCCTGCTGGTGCTGCTGCTTGAGGCTCTGCAGCTGGCTGCGCAGCTGCTCTGTCTCCTTGGTGTGGGCGCTTGCCTGCTGGGTCTGCAGCTCCAGCAGCTCCTTCTCTCGGGCCTGTGCCCGGCTGGCATCCTGGGCACACCTCCGTTTCAGAGTCTCCAGCTCCTCGGCCAGGGCCTGGCTCCCGGCAGTGAGCTGCAGGACCTTGGCCTCCTGGTCCTTCAGAGCCTGGCTGAAGAGGTTGGTGTTCTCCAGCCTCAACTTCTCATTCTCCTCCCTCAGCTTGATGTTCTGACTCTTGTGCTCGTCCTTGAAGCGGATCATGGCCTCGTGGTTGGCGGCCAGGGTCATAAAGCGCTCCTCCAGCCTCCGGGCGTGCTCGCTCTTGGCCTTCAGCTTCTCGGCCTCCAGCGCCCCCTTCTCCTCCAGCTCCGCGTTGAGCAGCTCCAGGATCTGGCAGCGCTCCAGCGCCTCGTCCGACCTCCGCTTCAGGATGCAGATGAGCTGGGACTGGTCGTGGATGCGGGAGCGAAGCATGGCCTTCTCGCTCTTCTCCTCCTCCGACAGTCCCCGGAGGTTTGCCAAGGCTTCCCGCAGACCATCCAGTTCCTGAAACCCCATCTCCTCTTCCTGGCTTTCCGGGGTTTTGTTTCGGGCACCTAAGGGTTCTTCGGAGGGTCGGCTGGCATCCATCCCGGGCGCGGGCTCATTCTCAGGCATAGGCCTCTCCTGCGCTGCGGGCTGACCCCGCGTCCGCCCCGTCGGGCTTCAAAAGCCACAGTGTTGCCAGGGGCTCCGGGCGGCTGCAGCGACTGTTTTTCCCAGTTAGGGGCCCTGTGATTGGCGGGCGGGTCGTTAGAATGCGGTGAAGTAACAACAGGACCAATCTGCTCGGGCTGCGCGCCCGCCCCAGCCAATCCCAGCCCGCAGCCCGCAGCCCTGGCTCCAGCCCGCAGCCCAGGGCCTCGCCCCTTCCCGCAGCGCAGACACGCCGACTGCACTCGGCTCCCAGCCAGCACCCGGGAGGCAGACCTGGCTCCGCCCGATTCCTGGTAGCAGTAAACAAATCGAGCTGGCAGGGACTCCTCCTTCCTCTCCCCGCTTCAGTGGTCATGAGAATAAATGACTGTCTTTGGAAACACAGTTGGCTCCTTTTAAAAAAAAAAAAAAATTGCAGTCTAGTCCTAGCTGGTTCGCTCAGTGGTTAGAGCACTGGCCTGAGCACCGAAGGAGCTCGGGTTCCACTCTGACCCAGGGCAGGTACCTCGGTTGCAGGCAGGCTTGATTGCAGGAGGCAACCAATCGATGTGTCTCACATCCATGCCCCGCCCCCCTTTCTCTCTTTCCTGCCCCCACTGTCTCTGAAAAGCAATGGAAAAAATATCTTCCTGTGAGGATTAAAACAAAAAAAATTTGCAGTCTATAAATGCAAAGCAGTGGTGCTCTGTGAGCCAGGACCCCAATGGCTGTGAGTTGGCGTCTGTCATGCCTGGCACAGATCAGCAAAAGGGCAAACCCCAATGAAATTTCTTTGGTTTTCCTCAGCATTGTCCCCAGGTGGGAATAGGTACTCTTTCTTCAGGACTCAGCACTCCCTGTTTTTACTCATTAGCAAAATAAGGTTTCAGAAAGCAGCTTAATGAATAACATAGATATGATACACACTAAAACAAGGCAAAGATCCAAATGAGGCTTACGTCATACAACATCCATTCCAAATGAATTAAATAGTTAAACATAAAGAGTAAAATAAAAGTATTAAAAGTGGAAACTAAAAGAAAAGAAAGGTAACCCTAAAAGTTCTGGGTCCAGAAGGACTTTCTCAGCTCAAAAGATGAGTAAGGAAAAGCCTACTTTGACTTCGTTCAACATCTAAGGTTGTGTATAATTTTAAAAATTGTGACCTCTGAGCTTTCTCCAGTGTCTCCTTCCTCTGGACTTGCCTGACATTTTAATCCCTCGCCCAAAAGCAGCACTGAAGTTCCCCTAACCAGCCAGCCGCCTGGCCCTGTCTGTAGGCACCCTCTTTGCCTCGAAAGCCTTTTTCCACCCTCTCCCGTGTTGCTCTAGTGGTTCGCTCAGTATTTTATAGTTCAGAATCATCTCTTCTGTGAAGCCCTTCCTGGCGCCAACATGTAGAATTGAGCACTCACCTCTTCTAGTGCATCCACCGTAGCCTATTTGTGCTGCTAATGGAACATGTCTAAACCTTACTGCACTCACTGTTTGCCTGCCTGCCTGCCTCCCCTATTAAACCCTGAGATCATTATGAGCAGGGACTGTGTGTTTTATCCTTGATGACTAGACCAGTGCCTGGAACATTGGGAAAACTCAGATAAATGTGTTGAATGGACATTAAAGGCAAAAATCAACTTGAGGAAAATACCCACCACAAACACAACAATAGATTTATATTTTTGTAGAGAGCCTGTACAAATCAATAAAGGTACTGAACATGTTAAAAAAGAAATCAATTAAATTCACAGATGAGGGGGCAGAAATAGTAAAGAATTGAACCCCATCAGTGATCCAATAAATACATGTTAAAATTAGGTAGTATTTCATCTATCAAACAAAATAAACTGCCAAACAAAATAGGACCAGACGCATGGATATAGGGAACAGACTGAAAGATCTCAGAGAGGAAAGGGGTGTGGAGGACGGGAAGAGATCAACCAAAGAATATATATGCATATATGCATAGTCCATGGACACACATAGTAATGTGGTGAAGGCCTG